TTTTTTTTGGGGGGGGGGGGGGCGGGGTGACAGGCGGGGGCAGGTGAGGAGGAGGGTGGGGAGGAGGGGCCGCGCAGGGGTTGCCAGGAGGGCCAGGGCAGAGTCAGGGGCCCCACCCTGAGCCCCTACCCAGCTCTGCACGATGCCCTCCCAGCCACACCCGCCCGCACAAGACACCGCACACACACCTTCATGGCCAGAGCCTCCTCCGCCTCTGCCACCGCCTTGGCCGAGTGTGCCCCCGCCGCCTCCAGCAGCGCCGCCACCTCCGCCTCCATGTCCGTCTCGGGGCGGTGCTTGGCGGCGATGGCGGCGGTGGTGGTGGTGCGCGGCACGGCTGCAGGGGTGGTGGGAGGCGCAAGGTGGGAGGCACCGAGGCGGGGAGGCCAAGAGGCAGCGCACCAGGCAGGCAGGCAGGCAGGCAGGAGGAGGCTGCGGGCCTCCCGCCCTGCGCCCCGCACTCGGCACCGCGGCGGCTGCATTGGGCTGCTCCTTTCCTACTTAAGCCCATTGGGCAGCCCATATGCCCAAGCCACACACGTGGACAGCAAGGAGGCAGGCAGGCCAGGGGCGCCCGCCGCACCTGCTTTGTCTGCTGTGAAGCGCAGGGTGGGCGCCTCTCGGTTGGCCTTCACGATCGGCAGCCACTTGTCGGCCTCCATCTTGCTCTCCTCGTACCTGCGGTACAGTGGTACCGGCAGTACAGCCGTGCCGCGATGAAGCTCAGCACAGCAGCACAGCAGACAGGTCCTATGCAGCTGCAGCACGGCAGCAGGGCACCAGAGCCGCCGCAGAACGCGGCCAGCAGGGCAGCAGGCGCAGCAGCCCTCGGGCCACCCACCCGGCCTTGCGCTCCTGGCGCTGCTGGATGGGCCCCGGCAGCGGCGCCGCCACCGGCGCCGCCTTCTTCTCCAGTCGCTCCAGCGCTTTGCGTGCCGCACCTAGCTTGCCCTTGCCGTCGCCCAGCCCGGCGATGAGGTCGGAGACGGTCAGCTCGCCGCCTGCGGCTGCGAGCGCAGGGGCGGGGGTGTAGGCAGCAGGGCGGCAGCTGGTGAAGGCTGCCCACCCTTGCCCAAGCAGCGGCGACGGCAGCGGGGGCGGCAGCAGGGGCGGCAGCATGCGGGCGCGTGTGCATGAGGTGCAGGGGGTGCATGTCGCGGCCGCTGTAAACCGCCGCGTCAGTGGGAGGGTCCGCGGCAGCCTGTATCGCCGCGGGGTGGCTCTGCGGAGGCATCTGCCCGCGCCCACAGCCGGCGGCGGTGCGCCTTCGGGGCGGGAAAAGTTCTCCGGTGGTGTGCGCTTGGGCGGGGGGTGGGCGGCGGCCCACCACAGCGGAAACGGAAGCAGCTCGTGCGGGCGGCGCGTGCAGCGGCAGCCAGCGCAAGGATGGATCCAGGCGCTGCTCACTGGATGGGGGCAGGTTGTAGGCGGCCTCGGGGTAGGCCTCAGTCACCACCGCATCCCGGGCCCGCCGCTTGCGCCGCTCCGCCGCCGCGCCGCCGCCGGTGGTCACCGCCTCCAGCATGGCACGGTGGCGCGCGGCCGCTGCCTCCTCGTCCTCCTCGCTGCCCTCGCCGCCCTGCTCCTCCTCCTCCTCCTCCTCCTCCAGCCCCTCGCTGCCCCCCTCCTCCTCCTCCTCCTCGCTGCTGCCGCCCTGCAGGCAGAGAAGCAGCATGGCGCAAGCCGGGGGCGTCGGCTGGCCTGACCACACATGACGCGCTGGCCGCCGCGTGCAGCATGCAGCGCTCTGGCCCCAGCCTCGCTCCCTGGCGCCAGCCCACCTCTCCAAACAGCTCATCCATCTCATCCCGCTCCCGCCGCCTGCGCTTGGCACCTGCGCCGCCGCCCTCCTCCTCCTCTCCATCCTCCTCGGCACCCTCCTCGTCCTCGTCTTCATCCCCCGACTCCCCGCTGCTCAGCAGGTCTTCATCGCTGTCGCTGCCGCCGCCGGCCTCGCCGCCGGCGGGCGGCTGGTCGTCAAACATGTGCCCAAACAGCTTCTTGTCCTCCTCTGCAGGCAGCCACACGAGTCCCCACCGGAAAACTCTGCACCTCGGCAGCTTGCCGGGCAGGCTGCCGCTCCAGGCCCCGCACAGACGACCGACAATCCCCACCGCCGGCTCGTTCCCAGCAGCTCAGGCGGCACCTGTAAAGGCCATCTCGTCGTCAATATCTTCATCCTCAAAGTCGGAGGGCATCTCGTACTCGTAGTTCTCCACTTGCTGCAATCAGAGAAGCGCCCCAGAAGGGAGGGGAGCAGGGACATTGGGCAGCGTGCGCAAGGTTGGCGGCGGCGGTGGCGGCGGCGGCGGTCTCTCCAGGGGAGCGTGGCGGGGTACTGGCATATGCATCTGCGTCGGGCGGATGCCATGGGCACGCCCCCAGCCCGGCTGCTCACGTCGTAGCGGGCCGCATGCCGCAGCTCGTCAGGGTCGCTGTCCTCCGCCTCGTACACATCGTCGGGGCGGATGGTGGCAGGCTCCTTCTTCTTGCCCTTGGGCTTGGGCGGCCTGCCGCCGCCACGCCCGGGCTTGGCCATGGTGCGGGCGCCTCTGTCGCGCTGAAATCAATCTCAAGCAAATTGGCAACGAAAAAAATGCATGCATGGATGCCAGAGGAGGCGCCCCCAAGGCGACGGGAGGTACTGGCTGCAGTACATGCCCAGCTCGAAAAAAACAGACAAAACCTGCATGTTTTGTGCCGGCAAGCCGCTGCCAAGGGTCTCCAGTCATCGCTGGTCATTTCTAGGGGTCTCAACCGGTGCCCGGAGCGCACCGCGTGAAGCAGACTCGCTGGCGCAGGCAGCAGGCAGCGGCTGGCAGCGTCCACAGGACTTGGGGCATCAGTGCATGTCTGTCTGACGTCCTGCGACCGGCCCTTCAGCACGGCAGCCGCGATGGCAGCAGAGCCCGACAGCCAGGAGCAGGTGCGTGGGGAGAGACCCCAAGGCCCGCCTTTTCGGCCTCCTGAATGCCTGATAAGACTCTGGCTCTCCTAACGGCGCTCCCTGTGCAGGCCGAGGCCTCGCCATCCTCCCCTGTCCCTGAGTTTGCCTTCTCCCCGCCCTCGGCACGCCCTGCCAGCCAGCTCGGCAGCCCCCTGCGCGCCAGCCTGAGCCCCAGCGACTCGCGGTCGCTCAAGGCGGCCAGCCGAAGGCAGCTAGCGGCGGAGTGGGTGGCGGCGCAGACGGGCGCCGCGGTGCCTCACGACAGCGACGCCGCGTTCCGGGCCTCGCTGCGCGACGGCGTCACCCTGTGCCGCCTCCTCAACTCGCTGCGCCCCGGCTCCGTTGGCAAGGTGTGTAGGGTGGTGGGGGACTGGTGGGAGAGGGGCGCAGACGAATTCGCCAGGCTGGATGCCGCCTGTCACCACCTAGCCTTCACCTGCCCCGGCCTGGGCTCTGTGGCGTATGCCCGCTGCATACCTGTCCTCCCTCCCCGCCGCCTCTCACCGGCTGCCATCGGCCACCGCCTCCTCTCTGCCTGGCCCTGCCCTCCCACAGATCATCGACTACAGCGCAGAGTGCGGCAGCCCCACGGGGGAGGTGATCCAGAGCTTTGAGAACGTGGCCAACTTCATCGCCGCCTGCCGAGACCTGGTGGGCGGCGACGCCGCCCTGTGCGCCGCAGACCTGGAGGACTTGTCGCTGGGGGAGCGCCCGCAGGTGGCCGACTGCATCCTGGCCCTGCACGCCTGGTGGCAGCAGCAGGCGGCCGGCGGCGCGTCGCCGCGCCGCGCCTTGGCTGCGGGCCTGCGCGCCAGCGGCTCGTGGGGCGGCGCCGCGGCGGCGCCGCCGCCCGCGGCCACCCCGCCGCCGCCGCCCACGCTGCGGCCGCCGCCCAGCCCGCGCGCCGCGGCGGCCTCCCCCGAGTTCTCCTTCACGCCGCACGCCGCCAGCGCGGTGGACCGCGCCGCGGGGCAGAAGTGCAGCGACGGCCTCGAGCTCCTCATGCGCACATGCAACCACATGCTGAAGAGCGCCATGGGCATGCCGGCCACGCCGCTGCCGCCGCCGCCGCGCGCCTCCTCCTCGGGCGTGGCCCCCGAAATTGCGCTGGACGCGGTGGGGCCGGTGCTGGAGACGGTGCTGCAGAACCTGACGGCGGTGCGTGGCTGCGCCGCGCCTGCTGCGATGGGCGGGCTGGGGAAGGGGCTGGCAGGCAGGCTCGAGCGGGCGGCTCCAGCGGCTGCTGCTCGGCGCTCCTGCTGCCACCAGCCGGCGCCCTGCTTCTTGCCTCAGCCCATGCGCTCTGCCT